TATATATATACATTTTTGTTATTGCTATCCACTACCTATTATATAACAGAAGTGTTCTTACGCATGTATGTAAAATTATTTTGCCGCTCTTCAGTGTATCAAACTGAAAGACACCTGTAAACTCATTTTCAGATCACGTGCAGTAAAAATAAAGTTAAATGAATTCAAGTTCAGTGATGTGCACCGTTAAGCTATGTTTACAGACAGATCAGGCTTAATTCTATATGTGGCGGTCTATCTGGAGATACTGCAGCAAGTGCAAACAGACTCTAAAGTCACAGCAGACTCACCATTATTGCTGGCGCTCAATCACAATACAGATGAGACTGACGTCTGGATCGCAAGAGATTTCTTTCAGATTGTTTTAGAAGAAAACAATAGAGAGATATTCTTCGGCGCCGATGGAGATCTGTAGAGACGCGGTGGAGATGATCTGATGTCGGAGTCCTGCACAACGTAATGAGAGTTTCCCTTTCTGAGATTTGAACTAATCTGCGCTGGAGCGGCTTCAGTGATCTATCAGAGCAACTCTACAGCGACACCTGGCGATTACATAGAGCAACTGCTGGATGTTTTCTTTAATAAATTCCTCTAGTGGCAAAGCTGAATTTTCAGCAGTCATTACTCCAGTCTTTAGTGTCACATGATCATTCAGAAATTCTAATGCTGAAATATGCATTACAACCTTTAATTTTTTCTGTTTGATCTCTCTGCCAGTGAAACATTTTCAAAAACTTTTTTGGGAAACCGGAATACATATTTTTCAGAATTTCTATTTTTATGTGAAAATACTGCTACTTTTGTCTTAACCATTTTAATGCATCCTTGCTGAATAAAAGAATGAATTTCTTTCAAAGTTTTAAATAAAATTCTACTGACCACAAACATTTCAAATGTAATAATATACAGTAGTATAAAAAGGTATAGTATGGTGAACTCTTCTTCATTTCCGCTGTTTATCTGGATATGTAATTTGGAACACAAATGAGGCTGCGCAAGTGTAAGAGCTGCATCAGCTTTATACATTTTTTATACAGATAATGCATTTCAGATGGGAACGAACAGAACAGAATGATCAAAGAGGTGTATCCTTAGCTCTGACACATCCTGTTGTTATTATTATTCATAGAACTAGACACAGACTCATATCTGGCCCCCAGACCTCCTTATAAAGAGTACGACTGACAGCACCCTGTCATTACCGCTCCTCTCCACTCTCTCTGATGACTGTAGCCTCTGGGCACACACCTGAGTGCACACTGCATACTTCCTGTCCTTTGAGGATAGAGCAGAGACATCCTGAATGGTTTAATTTCAGGAACAGTAAATGAGTGAAAAGAAATCAGCTTCTGGAGAATCTTGGTGTAACCCTTAGAGCCCCATTGTAGCAAAATTGTAAAAAAATTTTTTTAAATAGTTCACACAAAAATTACAATTTGCTTAGAATGTACTCACTCAGGCTATTCAGGATATAGATGAGTTTGTTTTTTCATTGGAACAGATTTGGAAAATTTTGGCATTACACTTTACACTTTACACTTGTTCATGGGGTGCCATCAGGATGAGAGTCCCGACAGCTGAGAAAGACATCACAATAATCCGTACGTAAAAAAACCCCCCAATGTTTTAACCGATTCCTAGTGCATTATAAATGTGGTTGTTGTAATATGAACACATTGCTTTTGCTAAGTTTTTCCACATCTTTCCTGTGTTTTTAATAGCGCAAATATGTCGCCCTCTGCTGGTAACGTTAAAGCCGTGGTATTTCTGAGATTCAGAGGGTGTCACAAACTTGATTCATTATAACAGTAGTACTTTAAATGGCTATAAAGAACAAGGATAACAGAAGCTGTCATTAATATACTGTGTTTTATTTGTATAGTATGAAAAAATAGTTTGTAGGTACAGGATTCAAAAGTGCACAATATTAGAAATGTGGAAATAGCCAGTAGTAAAAAGACTAAGATGGATACATAACCCTCGCTCAATTTTTTGTTTATCCATTTAAACCAGCATTTCAATAGCTGCATGTTTGATTGTCATGTTTTTATTTTGTCTGTGCTCAACTGACATTTATACAATCCTCTTTGCTTTTTTGCCATAGGGTATGAAACAAGAGTAATGCACATACTGTATAATATAAGCACTGTTTCCGCTTTGCTCTGTTGACTTGTGTCTACTCGGAAGGAAAAATCAGTGTTCTGTGGTGATCATTCTGGTTATTTTTCAGCAATTTAGTATAGCATGTTACAGCTGAGAATATCTGACTGGCATGCTCCAGGTTTTCAGGTTTTTGCAGGATTTCTTTGAAGGACTTCATGGTTTCTTAGGCTTGGTGTTGGTTCGTGCTGACTGCTGCACTTTGACACTGGTTGATGCAGACCTCGAACCCTCTAGGTTTTGAGCTGTGCAGGTGTATGTTCCTTGGTCAACCTCTCTGACCTCGTCTACCAGCAGTATTGTCTGAGTTCGCTGTCGGTTCTGTCCATCCACCTGCACTGTCTGCACACTGTCCTGGGTGTACAGCGGGCGCCCGATCTGATAATACAAAACATGAATTATCATTAAAAAGAAGTCTTTTAAATAATAGAAATATCATTTAATTGAATGTAATTTTTATTTATGTATGTTCTGATAAGTTGAGTGTCTTTAGTCTAACCTTTTGTCCAGGATATTCCCAGGTAAAATCCACCACCACGTCCTGCTCTCCTATCACAGTGCATGTCACCTGGAGATTCTGTCCCACTGCCTCAGTGTCGGAGGAGGCCTGGATCGCAGGAGACGGAGGAGCGGCAGGATCTGCCAGGGTATAGACATTCTGAAATCATTTCTGAAATTTCTAGAGTCTGATTTATATGGTCGTGTGCTTATGTACCGCTTTCAGTTTGCTGTTGTGTGCTAGCAACAGAGGAAATACTCACAGTTGACATAGATGAGCATGTATTTGGTTGAGCTCTGGCGAAGGTTTCCCAGGCTTGCTACACAGTACAGAGATCCAGCATGATACTGCTTCGGTCTGTGGATGATGAAACCCTTCTTGACATCAAAGGAAATTTCTTGTCCATCCACATTCACCTCCACTAGAGGAAATTCCCGGTGTAAAGTCACCTTTGCTAGCGGAGAAGTCACCTGACAGGGCAGGACGGTGGGCCAGTTAGTGCGAAGCTGAATGACCTCGTAATAGTCAGCGGAAGGTACAAACAACTCCTGAGGGTCTGAGAGAGGAATAGCAACAGACAATTATCATCTCTAAATTTAAAGGTGACATATCATGAAAATCTGACTTTTTCCATGTTTAAGTGCTATAATCGGGTCCCCGGTGCATCTACCAACCCAAAAAATGTGAAAAAGAAGTAATTTGTTTTTGGCTGCAAGCTTGTGAAAAAACGAGTCGCTAAGATTTTGCTCCACCTGTGACATAGAAAGGGGATCTTATTATAATATTACTCCCCCTTCGAGCAAAGCATGCTAACTGTTCTGTTTTTGGCTCAGAAGTTTAAACTAATATGGTTTAAAACACATGATTTCAGCGCGATAGACATGTAAAAAGGGGCCTTTAAATCGAAATTCAAATTGTGATATTATGCAGTATGTAAATGATACAGTCAGAAATTATTGCAAAATAATTAGGATCAGGGCAGAAACCATAAAAACATTTTCATTACTTTAAATACAATTTACTAAATCATTGACTAAATTTATTAGTATAAAAAGTATAAATAATGTTGTATTATATTTTATTTCAGCTAGCTGACAAAGCAACATTTTTTCATTTTCATTTAGTTTGTTGAAGCTCTAAATAAACTTAAAATAAAATAAAATGGAATTCAAAATATTAACAAAAACTATAATGGTATATCAGTGATTCTAAAATAACACTGGTGAAGACATATTTTATTTAATAATCTTTTAATTGAATAATCAATTTATTTTTAATTTATTCATTATTATGTAACTTCATTATTATATATATATTTGAAATTATTGTCTTAAAGCTTCTGCTATGAAAAACATAGTTCATTGCAATGTATTAAACAATGGGTCTAGCAACTTTTTTTATTTAATTTTTTTTATTTTGTGAAATCTGTTAACTGACTGCCCAAAATCTGCAGACTGCCTATCCCTTTTGGCAACTAGGGTTGACACATCCAAAGTGCAGAACGTTTAACAGTTTTAATTTTAGATTTACGTCATGTTTTTGTTACCTATAAAATACTATAATTTGCACTCTGTTCATCACATTATATTCTCATATTACCCGAGAAAAAGATGAAGACTTTGACGCCTTTGTCATACTGTTTTCTGCAGTCTTTATCCTCACAGTGTATAGGATAGCAGGTGAACTCCCCTGTATCTGCCGCTGTTGAATTTGCCAAAAACAGTGTACCATAACGTTCATGCTGAACTGTCCTGAAAATACAGACAAAAAACCAATTGATTATTGAACGCAATCTAATGTGATTACAGATTTAATCACTGAGATATTAGCTTATACCTGAGTCGTCCTTCATCATCCTCTTCCAGATATGCAGGAACAGCCCACTCTACAGGATTTCCTTTACATCTCAGCTCTAACGTATCGCCTGCATGGACAGTCAGCGTGTCCCCTGCTTTCTGGAACCTTCCCTTGTTTACCACCTGAGTGAGGTATGTCTGAGCTTCTTTAGGGGTCTCGGGGGTGGTTTTCACTTTAGGTTTGGAAGCAGGAGTCTTTCCTGGTCCCTTCCCAGATTTGGACTTGCCATTTGGTCTCTTCTCAGCTTTGGTCTTCAGGCCAGGTTCGATCTTTTGGCACATGCCTGTTTTTCATGTGACAAACCATTCGAAAACCATTCTGAAAGACTCTGTTCATATTTATTATGCTTTTAAAGATTTATCAAAAAATATATGTTTAAAAGTACACTCAGTAATTTTTACATTTATGCATTCGGCAGACACTTTTATCCAAAGTGACTTTGAGTTGATTTCAAAGTGCATTTTACCAGTTCATGTAGTCTCTGAAAACTGAACCCATACATTTGGGTTTCATGCAAAACAAAAGCATTTTATATGCAACTTTTGATAAATGTTTTACATGCATTGCGTTAATACTTGCTTTGTACAGTTATATTGTTTTTCACAGTTTGTATTACCGAGAATCGTATCTACATAATGTACAATATGGCTTTTATACTCACCGAACTTAATGATCAAAAGAGAAACAAGAAGAGAAAATAGCACCACCCTCCAATTCATGGCAGAGAAAATTCACAGCAACCACAAACAAACTTTAGTTCACTCTGCTATACCTTAAGGATACATGCAGAGAAGGGAGAAATAGAAAGGTAGCAGGAGAGGAGGAACCGAGTGAGAGGTCAGATGTTAACCAGAGTCGCATGAACACCCTAAATTCCTTTGGTTACACTCAATGGATCCTTTCTGTGTCCATTCTACCTATCAGGGTCTGAGGAGAGCTGACCATCCAACCAGGGGCGGGTTGACCAT